TCATATAAACAAGGCACATAAGCGTAAGACCACGACGACATGAAAAAAGACCTGTATGTGTCCTGAAGGTCACAATATTCTATGAGGACAACAGTTATTATGAAGGTAAAACTGACTCAATAGTTACATGCTCTGTGAGTCGCTGAAGTCTGTTCAATAGCATGGATGATTCATGTTGGTGTTTATTGGTACTACACATTACAGACTTCAAGGGAAAAAATTAAGAGCTCAAATTCAAGGAGTACAAAATGGGAATGTGCTGCACTGTTATCCATAGATCAAAACACATGGCGTTTTATTTCTTAATAAACATTATGACTATCCATCCCATTTTCCTCAGAAGAATGGAAATTTCAAAAATTCTGTTGCTCAATATGCATGGTATATCTAACGATTTTCAGTGAAACGTTAATCTCAACATTTTACTCAACATATAAGCTGATTTAAGTTAACATTCCATATGAGACTTATGAACATTGGCAATTTAACACTTTTTGACAGTTCTAAATTTACATGCTATAACTTTAAACGATGCGCTTTACCCTAAATCTGGCCACATTTCGGATTAATAATTTGATGCATAATAGTTGAACTCGAAGAAAATTTATCGAAAAGGCTGTCCTTTATATACATATAAGTGTTGTGTTTGTATGACCGCCTGATTTCTAAATCCAAATACAATGCTTTCGTTTGTGCTCATCTGGTTCTTCTTGGTCTAAATTGGTTATACCAGTAATTCCTACTTCCTATAACAATTCGAATACTTCTGATCATCACAGTTAGTCTTTAGATACATTGCAGACCTTTAACCAATTTTTCCATTCATTCAGCGTGTGAATACTATATATAGTACCATTACTTTCATAAAGGATTTCATTTTCCCCTATAAATTTCACTTTATTCGCTATTTTCGTTCGTCATGTTGAGATGAACTGTAGTAGTGTGCTCATGTATTATTTACATAGATAGCTTGAGATGTGTAGCTTGGCGTCGTGTTGAGGTTAACTATGAACACCGCTACCAAAAAACATGTGCCAGATAAATCAGAAGGCGAGGGTTGGACGTAACCAAATAGATCCATAAAATCCCCGAGAAGCCAAATATCAGAAGACAGTTAATGGACCTGTAGGGCCAGTGAAATGTCACTGAGCCCTAGCCAAATCATCCGGCAGTTGGATCACTGAATGTCGAACAGATCGTCGCTCCCTGCCAAGGTCATGTACAACAAACGCGCATTAGTTAATCATACGCCATGGACTGGCCCATGCGGCAGTGGTCTTACTTTCGCCTGTATCTGCCTTAACTAATATATTTCTGTAATAACGTCCTTTGTGTTGTACAGTCTTCAAAGCATCTATAGTACCTTGTTACGTCAATGGGGGTAGTCCACGTAAGGTGCTGACCACGAGGCGTGACTTCGACGTTAGTTGGTTCGTCACACTATTCACGTCTAACTCGAGTAGGCCTTCAATCATTTCGACATAGATCGTCTACGTTGGTGATCTACACTGGTGAGCCCGACGGCAATGATATATAAAAATCCCAAAAAGGAACAGACTCACAGTTGCAATTAGGTGTACCAGATCACGACGGTCTCACCAATGATGATGTCACAGGTATTCAGTGTTTGACAACGCTTCTACCAGTAACACCTTCTAATATATTTCGTTCCCGCCCAGAGAAATCAAAAGACAGAGTCGAGGAGATCGGAAGAGTGTATTTGGCGATGACCAATATATCGGAATTCTCTGATCTAATCTGGCTAGCGATTGCGGTTGATGTTGAGCACGGCGTTACCACACGTGATCTGGTGCGGATGCCTGACCGAGCGCCTTCAGCTAGATGAGTCCACTAAAACATATGGTCAGCATCCAATGTCGAAAACTTACAGAGCTATTTATTTTAGGGATTTATTTACCGCTACAGACCAAATCGAGATGTATTCGCTGGCGATCTCGTGACATCGAAAGGATACCGAGATCGTGCCAGAATACAAGCTTGGTTACAGAACGTAACCGAATTCGCGCGAAGTTACAATCAAAGTGTGAGTAAAAGAATGGAAGCACAAAATAGCTGTCATTAGCACAGTCAAACAAAAGCACATTAAAACAAGCACTGGTACAGTTGGTTATAATAATAATTGTTTTTATTAAACCAGTCGTGTTCTCGTGGTAAACGTGAGTCACTACAGATGAATAAAATGAGATCCTCAACAAATTCTCCGGCCATATGTGTAACACCTGCAAAACGTTTTAATGGTATTATTTCTCAACCGGATGATCCCTGAGTCCGAATATACGATGACTGAGACGATTCACATTCAGCATCAAAAACACTTGAGGAAGGTCAGAAATAGTGGGTTTAGAATTCTTGAATCGATTTCCTATAGCTGGGTTCCGCAGAAGTGACTGCTATGTAACCTCTTCATGTCAATTATATTATTCTACCCCTATCTCAAAAGTGTTCTTCAGAAGTCCCATAAATTTTTAGTGATAAGATGAATCATTAAGAACTACGATGTTACTATCACGTTAGATTTTATAGATAAGATAGTCACATCATGTCTAGAATCTTGGATTCGATCTGCTGGCATAGATAATTGTATTTGTAGACCTTAATTAGGTAGTTTAACAGAAAAAATGGCACATACGGTACTTTTATTAAACATCGAGAAAAGGAACATCAAGTAGACAGGTTATTTATTGTATATGACGTTCCATTGATCTTGTTTGTTGGCTATCTTTCCAATAAACTGCCTGCTTGCCAAGCGCAACAAACAAGCAGGATAGCCTGACTGCAAAGTTATGGTACGTCGTCCTATGACATGTCAGGCAAAAGACGGAAATGTTTAAGACGTTGTAGGTGTAATAAATCCCCAAAGTCAGTAGCTCTGTTGGTCTTTGACATTTGTTATAGCGCATTATTTAAAATGGACTCAGCTTGCTAAATGTACTCAGTAACTCATTCGCAACAGATCACGTGGGGAGAACGCCGTACAGCACATCTATAACTGCTAGCCAATCTAGAATTATCATTTCTTAATATGTTAATATTTTTTCAAAGATATTTTCGAACCTTTAGACTCCTGACTTCTTATTTGATTGAGGTGGCACATTTTTGCCATTAAAGGTTTTACTAGTTAAGGTGTTGTGAAACTACGAATACTTGTGGAACGTTTAGAACTTACGGTTAAAGACGTTGTGAAACCAGGATTACTTGTGGCATCTTAAAGGCTCTAGATCACTTCCACACTGGAGTCAGAACAATTATGCCTTCTTTCGACGTTCGCACACTCATGGTGAATATAGAAACACTGTGCTAATTTGTTAGCTGATAACCGTAATTCAGATAAGCTGACCAGAATATCTAAGTTATACCACCCAACATTAGGATCGCAAGGCTTGAGTTGCTTGCATCATTAATTGAACATAAGCATATCATTTTGAATAATCATCTGACATTAAGACTTTAGTAATGAAGTTCTGTGAACATGTTGGATCATTGAACTTACCAGGCGCGTTTTATGTGGTATCAAGGTCGTTGCTGCATTTACAATGTGGGCATTCTAAGTTGCTAGGGTCGGATAACCTTTTCGTTTATTTCATTAGAGTCCTTTTGGTTCGTCCAGAATGTGATTAACCATACCAGAATCACTGTAACTCGCTTGTTATTTGACTTAGAGAGATTTACTTTATTTCATTATGTCGTATCGGGGATTCGGCGGGGCTATAAATGCTGAACAAACCAGTCAGAATAAAGACACCAGCACTCGATTCTATCGAGAATCTCGGCTATACGCATCGTAGCGCTTCGTGTCTTTTTTGTAGTACGCATGCGTACTAGGTGGGCATGCATAAGAAATGTTGGGATTGAGAACAAGATGAAATAGTGAGCCGGTTATCCACGAAACGCACAATAAGAAAAACAAAAATCGCGGGTGACGCAGGCTTCTAATTGAATTGATCTGAAAATCGGGATTAAAAGTAAATGATTCAAGTTTTTAAACCCGCTACAATATGACTAAACAGCGTTTTAGCATCATAGCTCATTTCAACTTATGATCTCAGTCCTTACTCTCTTTAACCAGAATTCCTAATTGTCATTTCTGTTCATTACTCCTTACACTAGTTCATATCCTTGTTTTGACATATGTCAGTGACTGAAGTTTCTCTTGGCCACTTTGGTACCTCTTAGATATCATTCATACGTTATAGTCTCATTCAGTGAAGCATTTTGGGGTGTCATATTTCAAGGCTTACTTTACTGGATGAGATCCTAGTGGATTCGAAGAAGGTCGGGCGCCTAAATAGATACTTGACATCAACAGTTATAGCCATTAATTGTCATTCTGAGCCTTGTTAAGTCTTGACTACTTGTTCAGTGTTTGCGAAATCAGCGTTTAAAGACGTTAAATGATTTTCTTCTTCAGCATCTCTTCCCTACCTTGTTTTATTTATCTGAACACAAATATTGGTATGAACGAGCACCGAATACATATACGCCACACAAGTCACTTGATTTGTGTGTGGGCTATGATACTGCCCGGGTGCCCAGACCAAGGGAGGTTACTTTATTTTAGACCCATATTTTTAATGTTTGGTCATTTGCACTATCACCGTCTTTATAATACTCGAATTTTCTTACATTCATCTCGTAAATTTCACTTCATTGTGTTGATTAGGGAATAAGGACTGGTACACACTTGTCCCAAGCTTTACATCCGTTGCGAATCACTGATGAATAAGTATTCAGTTTTATCACTGTACACCAACGTCACAACTGACTGTGAAGTTAGTCTGACTAAGTAATTACTTGTAAAACAGTTTACTATTTGTTGTGCTATTCAGAACAAAGATCCCTTGGACTGTACTCTCCATCTCCATACTAACTACTCAGTACTGACATGTGATTATATATTCCCTTTGTTCTCTAGATTGCGTACTTGTTTTGAAGATCAATATTTCCGAAGAAATAACTTTATTTGCCGGCTTGCAGTTAGGATGAAGCTTTTTCTGCACAACATACTTACTTCTCGTGTCTTAAAGTCTGTGAAAGTGGGATATCCACTAAAATTGAAAGTCAGTTACCACTTCTCGCAGTCAATATTTTCAGGCCAACGCATTAAAAGTATCAACAGTTGATTATGACCCTGCATCAGTTGCCCGTTTGATTCCGAAAGTTGAGTGGTCTGTTGTGAAGTCAGTAGCAGATGAAGTAATTGGTCTATTCTGTATAATTTTTTAACAGATTGGTGAAGAATATATTCCTTGTTTGCCAGAAGAAGTCCCGGCTAATTATTCGGAAAACGAAGAGTTCTTAAAATTGGCACACCGAGCACTTCTTGAAGTCGACGTAATGGAGGGTGTACTGGTTTGCCCAGAAACTGGTCGAGAGTTTACCATCTCAAACGGAATTCCAAACATGTTGGTCAACGAGGGTGAATAAGTCCACTGTAAAATTCCTTGTAAATTTCTTCTGCATAATAAATATTACATCATCGTTAATTTCTGTATATGGTGGCCAGACTTTAAAATGTTATAACACAGCATCTCAATCAAGAAGCTAAGATACACCAAACAACAGATCACAACATATTTAAACGTGATGAAGGCACAATAGTATTAGTATATCGGTTAAATATATTCTATATTATTAGTTGGTGATGAATCAAATATAACATTTAAAGTAATTGAACAGAAGAGGGCCGCTAAGAAGTGCTCACTTAGTTTATTTTGTCCTTCTAAATACATCATGTATGTATAACTTGGACCTAAAAGTTGCGGATCTGAAGTCGTAACTCAGTAACTTCTATCGGAGTATGAAGTCGATCCCTGAAATATCTGCAAGTTGAATTCCAGCCTTATCTTTGTCCTGCACTGCATCGCTTCAAAAAAGAATACATTTTGCTAAGGCTTGGGTGCACCTTTTGTCTATTATGGCTGGAAGCAATGGTTTATGGTCACAGTGACAGTGAAGTTCGGTTAAGCATGTCATCAGTTGCTCAGCAGCCTAAGAAATCGAATTTCAACTGTTGGATTCCAGATCCAGATTATGTTTTTTGTCGTCATATGGACGGTGTGGTATAGTCTGTCCCATATTCCTCTACTAAGTTTTATGAATTAAACAGGCTCGCTTAGTAGTCAGTTGTTTCCTTTTAGGTGGAACATTTATTCTTATGGCATTAGTAAATCGGTTAACCACGACTTTATTATCAATCAGTTGTAAACCGCTTAAGCTATATAAACAAAGTCAAACCCAACATATGTACGTTGAAATATTTCGTTAATATAAACAGTATAAAATAACTGTCTGTGTGATAGAAATTTGTCACTCAGATGGGTGATTTCAACGAATTCCGTTCTCTGAGATAGTAAGTTCAATCAGAAAGCTTTCATTGTTCTTCTGAACATCAGAAGTGACCATACTTCCAGACGACTTACTGCATGACACACTCTTAATACAATGATAAGTATTCTATCATGTTTGAGCACAGGAGTATTATAATCATCAGTCATTCACGTTCTTCTGATACCTTGGAATTTACTAGGTCTCATCGTTAGCGTTATCAATATCTGTCTATTCAAAGTACATAAATGTCGTATCTGTTTTACGTTGGCCGTTTGTTGTGCTATATTTGTCCGTAGAGGAATCTATATTGATGAACTAACAAACTAATTTTCATCCAATTCTGTTTGTCCTTTCATTTGACCAGTAAGACATCCAACGAATCAAGCTACTGAGTCCTAGATCCTCACGCCAATTATGCTGTAGACTTACTTAGAATAAATGCACTGTCAATGCTAATTGTGTCACTAAGGTAGACTTTCTCGGATCTCGTTTCGATAGTCTCCAAGTCATCAGGATTGTACTTAGCTGACAAAATAAAGTACTATACTGAGGCCCACTGGTAATTAATTTTATCGACTGTATAACTAGTATTTTGTAGAGTTGGTGACCTGTCTTTCACTTCAACAATCTACAGCTTTATTTAAACCATTACTTATTACATGGATAAAACATTCCAGATTTTACTATGAATAATGGTAACAAATTGTTCCACTATAGGTTATGTCAACATCCAATTTACAGTTCGGTTACGTTACTCTCAGTCCTTAAGTCCTAGACGGGAGTGTTATATCTACGAGGATAGATCATTTTGTACGTGGATGTTGTTGTAAATAGCACCTAAACTACAGGTCATTTTACTTTTGTTGGTATGACTAAAGCTTATATAGGATTCACGGATGTCTTTGCTGATTAATTCCCTGGAAACCGTTACACGAGGTTGCTGTTTAGAGAATTTCATGCTGGCTGTCTTCTCACAAATGTACTGTAATATTGTGGGAAATGTTCCAGGAACAGCCACACGAGTGTATAAAGGCTTTTTTAGGACCATGTATGTGGGTTAATCGCCGAGTAACATTTCCCTTTGGGCCACACCCTTAAACGTAGTTTATTTAGTAATGCTAAAACAATGACTACATCATGCCGTCCAGTCAGTTACGAATACTTAGTTACTGGATCATTCTTTGAGCCTTTTACATGATGAACCTAGGAGCATTAAGAGGTATATGTCTATCCCAACCTTCTTCCAAATAAGTGTCAGTAATACATGACCTAGAGTTAGATCCGTACACAAAAGTATTTTTCACTATCGCCGTCATCACACAGACTTTTCGATTGCCAAACATTAACCACTGTGATTTGTCCCTTTACTACAGCTCCGTTTAAGATTGGGTTCATTTATCTTACGTCTGTCTTATTGCTTTTCATTTTATTTCCTGTTACCAATCCTTGTTTGTTATCTCCTAATTACCAGTTTATGTTCTTTTAATCTTTGGTACTACATATTTTCGATTTCTTGTGATTATTTATTCCATCCTCTTCACGATTACCTTCATTATGAACTATTTGGGTGTTTTTATTAGCTTCCCAGACAACATTAACCGCTTAGAGTGAGACACAGATCTCCATCATATCTATCTAGCTGTTGTTCCCCCCAGTCCGCATAAGATTGAACAGTTTCTCGATCTTTCAAGTGGTTACTATTTAAGTATATTGAAATATGTTTTATTCTACATCCCAGGTATTGGTTAATTCGTCAGCAACTTTAATAATGTAGCAGCTTGTCGTAAACTTAAGAAATAATGGTCGTCTTATTCGTTTCTTTTCTAAATTACTTATGGTAATGAGCTGGTAAATAAAAATTAACCTCGGTACAACTTTGTTTATTTTTCGAAATATACGTTTTTATGGAAAATAAAACAAGAGGTGTGTATCATAAGAATAGATTTTTTCAATAAAATACAACTTAACTAGGTCACCAATGTTATTTATGTACAAATTATAGGGTCTTGTGTGTTGACAGATTGAAGTTTATACCCAAAACCGGTTTTTTTCTTACTTCTTTCATAACGTAGCTTGTAAACAGATTAACCAACGCGAGGCACCATGAAAAAAAGGTTAAAATTGTGTAAATTAATTTTGAGGTTTACATACCCCTTTGTCCTGGTCATCTATCTTTGTTAAAATACTGTCGCGAGCTAAGCTGTCCCAGTTAACGTGCTTCAACAAATTATCCATATTTGCCTGTTGGATTACTTGTATTTATTGAGTAGTCGAAGTCGAACATAACAAAGAATGTAAAATGCAATCATAATTACTACCAACCCAACAACATTAGACCATAAATCCCATCTAGTCATATAAGGAATTTCTTGGTCCTCCAAATATGTCGTGCCATTTTGACTGTAAAGAGGGTTATGAAATGAAAGAAAGCATACACATCAACATAGTTACTTAATTTAATCACAAAAGATATGTTTAAACACTTTTGTTCTTATAATTTTCTTAAAAATACATATAATGTATACATTTTAAACCTTAATACTGAACAGTAAGGAACCAAGTGTAACAGTATAGCAATTTTTGACTGATTTCTCATCCCACTGTTAATGGTTATTCTGATTTTTCCCAAAAATGTTGCATAAATAAAACAAGAATAATAGCGGTTGGAATTTTTTTCAGTGAGATGAGATTGAATTCGTTACTGCATATATCTAGTGTCATATTATGTACGCATTCTGTCTAAATACATTCAAAAAATAACTGGTGTTAAGATATTTCAAAAGTTGTGTATAAATTCCATTTATATCTACTTTATTCATAAGATGCAATGCATGTATATCATGACTTTGGAAGTTACAAATAACTTTCAGACAAGATATTGTAAGACTTTTATGCCTTTGCTTGCGTACATGAATGCTAATGTATTAGCTCCTCATTCTACGAGAAAATACACAAGGAGAAAGTTGTAACTAAATTGGATGGTTAGTATTTGATAAGACAGCATTTGTTAAGAGTTTGCAAGATTTTAAATTTCTATCTACAACCATATTCATGATGACTTCAAAAGATTCACTACACACCATGCGAATTACCTTAAACATTCTTTGCAAAACAGAAAAACCTTTCCTCGAAAGCCCGGTAGAGAATAATGGAGAATAAAAGAGATGAACTGGTAATAACCAAGGATTCACGAGTCGTAAAGGTAAATATCGAGTAATGCAAAAACATGCAGCCGCTTAATATAATAAATTAAACGAGAAAATTTCTTTGATATCAATAAAACCTAAGAAGACGAAGAGAGATCAAAAGAAAAAAGTTACACCAAGATAAATGACCTTTGACACTTTATTACAAAATACTCAGTAGTACAAACTTTATAGGATTACAATGGGATCTCTAAGTGCTGCTCATGTCCAAACTGAAATTAACAGCTTGACATTTAGAAGCATTGAGTGTGGGATCATTAAAAATAGGCTACCGTTCAATGAGCAACGAAAACACATTGCAAAAGGATCTCAAGAGTCAGAAATCGACGTATATACAGTGAGATCGTTTGCATACTTAATGAACGTGCTTTTTGTAGATGACGGATCGTGCGGAAAAAAGGGGAAAGGATAGCTCTTTGAGACATACTTTTTTTGGGTTAGTAAAGATGTAGAACACTTTCTTATCGGCACAGTGTATTGTTTTCTTCCACAGAGGTAAGAGCACAACCAGTCAGTTGTCCAGCTAGTAGTATTGACGCTGGCAAACGTGTTTAGTAGTTGTGGTGTTGGAACAGAATCAAAGGCAGGGGTATAGTCTCGTAAGCGAACTGATATGGTTTAATATACTCTTATTGCAGCTCCTTGCACAGTTTTCTGTATTTTTTCCTTCGTAATCGTTTTAGTTGTGAGGATATAGGTCGATCAAAACTTACAAAAATAGATTCAATGGGATAATAAGTGACAACATTAGTGGTGTTTGCCATTGAGTCATTTGTGAATAAATGCCAACATGTTTTTTTGCAGATCATGGATATTTTATTCTGAGCAATTCCTGTATTTAACTTTCTTTGTCTGAAATCAGAAGTGTACTCTTTTGAAGTTTGTCATATGCCTTAAGCAAAACACGAATAATACAATGATCAGAATCAAAAAATGGAACGTGTTTACGAATCATATATATTTTCATATTAATGAGAACTAAGGCTGAATGCTTATCTGAACGAGTGGAGAAATCGATTATTTTTTTATGACCTAGTGATAAAAGAAAGCTACAATCACATGAAATCATATCACCACATATAATTGAAAGTGAATCATTATTATACATACATGAAGCATGTACTATAAACTTGCTTAAAATGTCCTTAGAAATAAGTTGATTAAACAGCCTAATAAGAGTAAGCGGATAAATGAGTAGATGGTGGGATTAATATGGTCAAAGTAAAGAATGATAGCGTATGGACAAATAACTGAAGTGAAGGAAATTTAAACCCAAAACAGTTAGACTTGAAGAAAATTTATAATTAATTCATTCAGTCCCTAATTTTGATGTATAAGAATGCTCAAAACAGCAGATGCCTGGTAAAATGATGAGAACTGAGTAAAAAATTTAGCTACATTCGATTCTTTAATCCTTCAAGCGAACCAATGATTATTTTATTATCAGAATGAGTTTTGTGGAGATTTTAGTAAATTTCACAGGTTGAAATCATGAGTCAGTTGAAGCTAGACCACCATTGGATTGGTTGAAGTCAGACATTAACACCGTTGGATGCCGGCTCAGTGGTCTAATGGTTAAGTGCTCGCGCACGAAGCCAGTAGGTCCTGGGTTCGAATCCCGCAGGGAGCGGGTTCGTGGATGCGCACTGCTGAGGAGTCCCATACTAGGACGAAATGGCCGTCCAGTGCTTCCAGGTTTTCAATGGTGGTCTAGCTTCAACTGACTCATGATTTCAACCTGTGAAAGATTATTTTATTTTGAAAAAAATAAAAACGATCAAATGTAAAACAACAAAAAATAAATTATCATACCACTGCCTATTAACTGTCGTATTCGATTTATCCATAGGACAAAATCGAAGTGTTGTCATTTCCATAATCAGTAAACCGCCCATACCGTAACGAAATATAGAGAAGTAACGAAGCCAACTAAGCCAAACAGCCATAGATTTTAAATTGATTAAGAAACCAGAAAAAACCTAAAATCAATGAGAAAAAGGTTTGATATAAATCATTCATTGTTCCAAATGGATATAATGAAAGACTGAGGGAGCTGTTCTCAATATTTACCCGGCAACAAATTACAGGTAGCTTTACACTTTCCATGTTTGTTGACACTAGTCAGAATGATGTATCTATGACGTCAATGAGATACATACTCTTTTGAAAACCTTTACATAAATTATTTAAAGCCTCAGCCAAAGATAGTATAGGGATATTTCACGTGAAATATATTTAGTATTATCCGATGATCGTTTCACTTATTGTTGCTCACTTTTCTCGGTTTTGGTATAATCATATGTACTGACACTAGTCGAAATGGTGATGTATTAACATTTTCTGCAGACAGAAATAAGAATACGAGCGCCTGAGACTTAATAAATAGTGTTTAGTATTCGTCTCACCATGTCAAATGTAGTGAGATGCATGAATAGAAGATGACAGAGAAGTGTAAGGTTTCATACGATCATAACAATTCAGTTGCGAATTTGAACACTGTTCAGCTTACTTTGGTTTGGACAAACAGATAGTATTACTGGTACTCATATCTAAAGTGTGGTTAAAAGTCAAGTTTACCATTAGAAATTAATTATATACATGACATGTACTTATAGAACTTACCATCATAAATACATAAATAATCGATATTATAGCATTAGCCAATCCAAAGACTGTAACACTTGCTGATATAAACAAAGCAATTGCAGCAGCGGCTAACGTTGTAAGGCATAAAAGTAATTCGAAAAACATAAAAGCTCCAAACGTTTTCTGTAAACCAGCCATCCAATAACATATTGGCATAAAGAATAATATAGGTAGTACTTTAGTTGGTATTATATCACAGAGAATTTTAGAGAAAAAGTATACTGAGACTTGATAATAACCACTTGAACTTTCATGTCTGCAAATGAATTAGAACAAAGATAAAAGTAATAATACAAAGTTCAATACAGCGGCTATTGTATTTTCATTTTTAAACAGATTACATTAGAAAATTAGTACAATCGGTAGGAATGTCCAGAAATGTATACAGCTCAGTTTAATTTATAAGGGACTGACGGTAACAGAGGTACCTAACATGTTTAATCGCTCACTGTAGAAGACGTCTCGAGCTCTCATATTCCATTTTATTATATATATATATCTGTTGTAAAGATTTTATCTTAAAAGAGTTTTAATAGTGGTTTAATGGAAATGATATTTTATCAAGATCTCATTTTTTAAAAACTTTCAGATGATCATGAAATAATCAGTTACAATGTCCTGACCAAATAATTATGAAATAATGCTACTTAGAAAACGTACTATATTGTAAAAGTGTGGCTTTTCTGAAATACGCTGTTCGTTAATAGACTGAACTTTGAAATTTGTAAAATGTCACCAGTCATCTTTAAATTTAAATGGTTCATAATGACGTTTTCAAAAGAGAAAGATTGATGGCTGAAGTGACATTTATTAGATTGAAAATAAACTAATTAAATGTTAATTTAAATTCTAATAACACACTTAGTTTAAACTGAGTTGGAAAATTCTTTTCATCTGTATTCAACGACTGATTAATAATGATATTACTCGCGATCTGTATTCTTCGAATTTTCTGTTCTCTAACCTTCCGATACTGCTGACATTTGACAAATCAAACTGATAGACATTAAATGCAAGCATTAAGAAACAATTTAAACTTACATAAAAAGTACACGTTCTTTAATAAATAACTCAATTGTAGCCAAATTTACAAATATCACTTGTAATGTACAAAAATAAAATAATCCAGTACGATTTTGTATACCAGATTCCAAAGAATCATTCATTTGAAAATAAACTATACCCATGGATAATGCAAAAAATAAATAAACAATGGTTTGTATCACTGATGCTAGAGGATCTCGTAATAGATTCAGTATTGATCTCCAACACACTTTATTGATTTGTCGAATATATGATGCAGCAAATGATATATCTACAGCATTATCTTTGCTCTTTTTTGAACCATTTTCATATTTTTCCAATCGATTAGCGATCGAGCTAACTTCTTCCAGCACACTATGTAGTATTGTTTTTAAGTAGAAAAGAGTAAACGTTATTAGGTAAGAATATATGCATCCATCGAAATTATTACAATATCCTTAGAAATGTATAATATTTTATGCAAATGTTCAAACACCAAGCTAAACAGCTTTTTCAATGAAAAAAACTTTTAGTGAAGTGTATTAGGAATAGATTCAATAATCAATTCAAACGACATATTTCCTAATTAAATAAATAGTCAGTGACTGGTTACTTTGTTTATTTTCAAGATGGGCTGAAGCATCTTGTCAAATTAACTGATCTCTTGGATAGAATTCTATGACTCGTTCCTTTCATTTCTCTTTATAGAATATTTTGATAAACAGAATAATTATTAATCAAAGACAGAAGGCAACATTCGACCACTAATTACCTAACATGAATAAAATAAATATGCCACCATAAATTTTAGCCGTTTATTCAAGACCCCGGGTTACGTGGACTTATATTTATATAGGCCACAAATATGGAGATTATGAATAGACACCCAGTACATACTATTAAATGATAATACTTTTCTTTGTTCATCTGTAAACTAGGTTTAAAGGTTCTCAGCGAAGGACGGTTGACAGAACAATGACCGATCATTTCAAAAGTATGTTATACAGTGTCAGTTCTGTTTTGATAGTTCAAAGACTTTATTCCTTAGAAAACGGAAAAATGACGTTTTTTCCATATTTTCTGTAACAGTTTTAATAATTAATCTCCTGTCTTTATTTAATCACATGAAAGGCGATTTACTTATCAATGGATTGGTTCTTACCATACAATCAAGTATGGTGACTAGATTCTTGAAAGATCAAGTTTAATTGTCTTATCTTAGGAAAGTGTAAAGTTTCAAAGTCAATCGAAATTAAGTTAATATTGTCACTATTTTGGATTTCAACAGTAATTTCGTATAAAAACATCTCTTTGTTTACTTATTTTGCATATTAGTTGACAAAAAAACATTTTACACATTTTAACACCATTTCTATATCATAAATCGAATTAAAATAGCAAATTCCTAAGACTATGTTATGTTAACTTTTACTGATTGAATAACGAAATACGTTTATTAGTTTATAGATTAATATACATACTGTTGAGCCATTTCAGAAGTTTGCCAGTCTTGAATAAGTTGTTGTCCAACTAAATGCATTCTTTCTTGAGTATCATGATGATCCATAATTTGGACATCTAGAATAATAAGTTTAATAGAAAATATGAAAATTCTTCAATTTATCCAAATCAATTAGAGAGCGTATACGATTAACATCCAGAATTCAATCAGTAATTTTATAAGTCATGCTAACAATTATGTTTGAATTATATGGTGTACATTGAAAGATATCAATATATTTGAAACATATCTATTAAAAGACCAATAAAAAATCAGAAATCTTTACAGATTTCTTATCTTCCCACAGACTGTTCGTATGAATTTGTAAGGCCGTATAAGAGAACCGAAGCAGAAACTACTGATTTTGAGTCCTGATGTTAGCGTTAACACACCTGCGGGTACGTCCAGCTGATGAATCTAAAATATAACGGGACGTGCTTCCTGAATTTATATAACTAGCCAAAAACCATCTGTTCTGTAAAATAAATAAGAATCATCTAGCAGAAATATTTTGCCTTTGGACTACTGGTTTAGGATTCTGTTATTTTCACTTACTAAAACCAATAATTCTTTAAAAATGTAAGACCTAAAATGTAAAACTTTGTTGTAACTCATTTCTTATCTTTTTATTCATGGAAATACATTCTACAAATAAATTTTAGAAGAACGATTTAGTGTTTTTTTATCACAAGTGACTTTCTAACTGAATGTCAAATTCCAAAATCAAAATTCTTGACCAACTTTTATAATAATACTTCGTATACTATATGTAACACAAGTTCTGTTGACAAAGTCAAATGTATCTATATATTCTCGAGAACATCCTAATAAATTCAAGTTAAAGGTAAGTGATACATAATGATATTTGGAAAGTTAAAGATAATTTATAATATTTAACTTTAGTTACAAATACATGGATCATGAACTAATTCAAGTTGTCTTTCGTGTACCAAGTGAACCATCACACTCAAATTTCAGTTATTTTTTAAACTACTGGGCTTGTGTAGCAAAATCATTCAAGTTTCTATCTTCAATACCAAAATTGAAATTGAGAATCGACTGGTATTTTCACCAACAGTAATCAAATGATAATTATTTAAGATTCAGTTTTGAATTCTACTTTTTAACTACATGCATATTTCGTCTTAAAAGGATATTTTGGAACAGTAGATCAATCCTTAAAATAACAGTCTAGTGTTAGATGCTGTTAACTATTGAAGGTTCAAAATCTAAAATCGCAACAGATATTCAGTTAAGTGTTCAGCATACTGCCTAAGGCAGAATACGAAAATCATGAATCGACTAATGTTATACCGGCATTGAAAACATAGAGGCACTGGATAGCCGTTTTGTCCTAGTGTGGGACTCCTGGGCTCGAATCCCGCGTGCGCAATCGTGGATGCACACTTCTGAGGAGTCCCATACTAGGACGAAACGGCCATCCAGTGCTTCCAGGTTTTCAATGGTGGCCTAACATCAATCGATTCATGGTCTTAATCAAAATTATTATTATTATTATTATTATTATTATTATTATTATTATTATTATTATTATTATTATTAATTCATTATACTTGCACTCGAATAGTTATGGAATCAGTTAACTTTGATTTATCAACGCCTTTTAAAACTATTTTAACAGTTACATAGGAAAAATTCATTGTCTTTTCGACCTACGAAGTGACTTCAAGGCTATATTTTGAATCGTAGACCATCTAGTTACGACTAACTAATTTTAAGTTTGCAATAAATATTCTAATGTTCATCGATTACCAAGCATTTCTCCTTCATAGTTTATATTCACTGAGAGTATAGTATCTTGCTCGGCTGGAAGGTCGTCATTATCACCTGTTAGGCTGAACAGTAATATATAAATCATTTTCTCTGGATGGAATACTAAGACTGTTATGAACGGGGAATTAAGAAGCCAGACAATTACGAAAGCTATTTTCTTGGGACGTTATTGCATTTCATTCAAAACCTGTAAAACACTTATATTTATTTTTGTCCCTATCTTATTCTACATAACACGAGCTTTCGTTCTATGTATCATTCACTAGCATACCCTTTTTTGTTCCAAAAATATTGTAATTTAAACATTATATTTTGCACTATATTTTCTACCTTAATTCCCTGTTTCGGGCATAACTGTATTTTTCCAAATTATCCTACGTCGTGGCCAAGATATGCACTTATTTATTCATGTACATTTTTGTAGTAATCCGAATTCAGAGAATCCAGAGTTTAGTGTTCCAACTGTCTTGTCTTCTTTCACTCGCGTGCTTGCCAACCAATCAGGATTTAGAATAGTTCTCTCTACCCCAATCGAACTCACGCGTATTAAACTCAAGGTTAAGCCACTCAGCCTAGCGCGTCAAGGTCAAGTCATAACAAGTATCACGGGGTAAAAGCCATCCAAGGTCATAACAACTGGCGACGGAGAATTTTTTTTTCTTTCCTATATTGATTGATCCAGTACAAAATGCCTGTTTCATTGGATGACCTTAAAACTATTCTTCAAATGCAGCAAGCACAAAATGAGGCAAATCAGACGAAGCTTTTGGATGCATTCGCACGAATGTTCTCATTACAGTCGTCCTCAGCTTGTCAATCAGATAAGCATGAAAGCATCATAAATTCTATTTCTGAATTCCAGTATGATCCTGAAGCTAATATCATTTTTAGTTCGTGGTTTTACCGTTGTGAAGATATTTTCCGCGTTGAATGCTCGCATCTTGATGACGCAGCAAAAGTTCGCTTACTCTTAAGAAGACTGGGAACACAGGAATATAATAAATATGTGAATTTTATCTTGCCGCAAAATCCACGAGATATATCATTCAAAGATACAGTCCAGATTTTATCTGATATTTTTGATGAACAGTCCTCATTATTTAATACTCGCTATAAATGCTTCCAAATAACGAAATCTCCAGAGGACGATTATCTCACGTATGCCGGGAAGGTAAATCGACAGTGCGAACGCTTCAAAATAAACGAAATCACAGCGGACCAATTTAAATGCTTGATTTTCATATGCGGTTTAAAGAATGAAGAAGATGCAGATGTCCGTACCAGAATGCTGGCACTCATTGAACAAGAACCAAATATGACATTACAAATGGTCACAACCGAATGTCAGCGGTTACTTAATCTCAAGCATGACACTGCGATGGTGCAACAGAAGGGTAAACCTTCCGGTTCTGATTCAATTAATGCGCTCCGATCCATAAAATCATCGAAACAAAACTGTACAAGCAGGAAACAACCTGCCAACCCCCCATCACCATGCTTGTTCTGCGGAGCATGGCATTTTGCAAAATTCTGTCCGTTTAAGAATCATAAATGCCGCAAATGTCATCTCATTGGCCACAAAGAAGGTCATTGTTCGTTAAATAAACGCAAGACTAAACATCGTAGTGAAAATTCAAAGCAACGATCAAACAGTCAAATTAAAACCACGTTTGCAACCTTTAAAGTTGGATTTAAAAGTAGGCGGAAATTTGTAAATTTATTAGTAAATGAAAAACTTATACGACTTCAGTTGGACACTGCTTCTGATGTCACGTTGATTTCAAAGAACACATGGCACAAGTTAGGATGCCCATCCATCCGACCGACGGAACATGTCGCCCGAAATGCGTCAGGAGACATAGTAAAGTTGACAGGAGAGGTTCTATGCAATGTTCAACTTATGGGAAGTAAATTTACAGGTGTTTGTTATCTAACAAATCGACACGATTTAGATCTATTGGGATTAGATTGGATTGCACATGTTGATACTTTGAATAAATTATTAGATGAGGTATGTTCTCAAAATGTTTCCTATGAGTCTATCCAAATCCCTAATAATATTTCAAAATCAAATGCCTCCGACGAAGCATCCTCTCTGGATATTAACGAATTAAATGCTTCTGATGAAACATGTTCTTATGATCTTTCTGAATCAAACAATTCAAATGTTATGTGTTCTCACCATGTCAAATCAAATACCGCCGATTCATTGCCTTCTCATAAAATTTCCAAATCGAATACTTCAGACAAAGTATGCGCTAGTGAAACTTCGGAATCTCATGTACTTCTTTCTAATGTTATGTCTACATCAAAGTCTTCTGCTTCTTCTCAATTATCGCGCTTAATAAGCAATCATAAGCTTGAAAACGAAGATACTGTTATCGCTTCTATATCAATGGAAGAAGATGTAAGCAGAATGTTGTTTAATTCAACACAAATTCTTCCAGTGACAGCTACTCAAATCGCTGAACACACTCGCCGCGATCCTATCTTAAGACGATTATCTACATTTATCCATCGTGGTTGGCCCCCACGTATAACATCTCATGAACTGAAACAGTATTATCAACGACGCCAATCTTTATCCATCGTAAATGACTGTATTATGGTTGCTGATCGCGTAGTGGTTCCGTATAACTTACGCTCACTCGTCCTGAAACAACTGCATACAGCCCATCCAGGTACTGGAAGAATGAAAGCTATTGCTCGGAGTTATGTATATTGGCCTAATATCGATGAAAATATCGAAGATTTCGTGCGTGCGTGCAGAAAATGTGCTGAGGTTTCTAAGTGTCCACGCAAAGCTGAACTACATTGCTGGCCATCTCCAGAAGAACCTTGGTCGCGTATACATGTTGATTTTGCTGGCCCATTCCAGGGTACGTACTTCCTCGTTTGTGTTGATGCTTATTCAAAATGGCGGGAGATTTTTCCTATAAATCAAATCACTTCGCAACAGACTATCATGAAGCTACGGCAGTTATTCTCCCGTTTTGGAGTTCAAGATGTTCTCGTGACAGATAACGGCACTCGGTTTATTTCTTCCATCTTCTCAGATTTCTGCAAGAGGTTTGGAGTCAAACATGTCCGTTCACCTCCGTACCATCCACAATCGAATGGTCAGGCCGAAAGGTTTGTAGATACCTTCAAAAGAGCGCTACTAAAGGCAAAAGGGGAGGGAAAGATAGAGGAGATTCTTGATGACTTTCTTTTGGTCTATAGAACAACTCCAAACCCATCAACACCAAATCAAATGTCCCCAGCAGAAATTATGTTTGGTAGAAAAGTAAGAACTGCTCTCGATGCCATAAAACCACAGCAAATAGACATCGGAAAAAGAAACAGAAAGATGGAAAACCAATTTGATCGCCATCATGGGGCAAAACGCAGAATTTTCCAAAGAAATCAAAAAGTATACGTCCGCGATTTCCGATATTCACCTCCACAATGGACCAGTGGACGCATACTTAAGAGACAAGGGAACGTAATGTATGTGGTGGAAGTTGAAGGACAGAAGTGGACACGCCATGTCAACCACATACTGGAAAATGCTGGCACTTCACAGAAAACCGAGAAATTAGACTCAATGTGGAGAATCATTCTAGACAGTTTTTACATAAAATGCTCAGCGACTCAGAAGACCACGCAACCTGAACAAGGTCCTATTAGGAAAGCAACACGGAAACGCAGAAGACCAGATATTCTACAGGTAGACCCGAAGAGGAGAACATACGTTTCCGAAGGAAGATATCAATGATGATATCTCAGCACTTACCTGTATATAGTAACTAACCATATTTTTTTTCTTTTTTTTTAAGGGGGAAGGTGTTATGAACGGGGAATTAAGAAGCCAGACAATTACGAAAGCTATTTTCTTGGGACGTTATTGCATTTCATTCAAAACCTGTAAAACACTTATATTTATTTTTGTCCCTATCTTATTCTACATAACACGAGCTTTCGTTCTATGTATCATTCACTAGCATACCCTTTTTTGTTCCAAAAATATTGTAATTTAAACATTATATTTTGCACTATATTTTCTACCTTAATTCCCTGTTTCGGGCATAACTGTATTTTTCCAAATTATCCTACGTCGTGGCCAAGATATGCACTTATTTATTCATGTACATTTTTGTAGTAATCCGAATTCAGAGAATCCAGAGTTTAGTGTTCCAACTGTCTTGTCTTCTTTCACTCGTGTGCTTGCCAACCAATCAGGATTTAGAATAGTTCTCTCTACCCCAATCGAACTCACGCGTATTAAACTCAAGGTTAAGCCACTCAGCCTAGCGCGTCTAGGTCAAGTCATAACAAGTATCACGGGGTAAAAGCCATCCAAGGTCATAACAAAGACAAATTTCCTATACGATTTCATTCTACTTGTATTCTAGTGTATTCAGCAGGCGAACAGCTATTTATCACTACTATTACAACTGCTAAAAAGTGTGACGTTGATAATGAATAAGTTATATTGTTATTGAAATTAAGAACCGACCTTAGTCAGACATGCACTGAATATCTGGGAGCACTGAACCGTTGTTTCATCCTAGCATGGAATTTCCCGGACATGGGAGTTCACAACCTCACTGGCTACCGAACCCAGAACCTTCAGGTCTAGCGTAAATAGACTAACCTTAATCGACTTTTGTATTCAGATTAAAATATTATTAATATTTAATCTATGCAAAAGTACCTGACGTATTTCCATGTTGACGCAAACATTCACCATGTATAACATCCATGAAAAAATCTGGCGGATTATTATGATTTTCACAAACATAACCTGAAACAATAAAATAAAAAGGCTTTATCAATTTAATCGCATAACAATGAATCTATGTACTTCAGTTTGAGAGTCACATCTACTGTTCTCAGTGGTGATGTTAATATGAAGGGCTAACAATATTTGGTGCTTACTGAATTAGAGTGAAGTTAAACACTTTCCTACAAGCTACTTCATTCAATAATTAACTGGATATTAGCTTCACTTGTAAAAATAGAAATTTAATTATCAAGTGCTTTCAAAGCCAGTTTTTTTCATTCAGTGTTATTATTTGTTTTATCTTAGCCTGGGACTTTTCAGAAGTGTACCCCTATTATTCTTCAATGAATCGAACTCGAAAGCCGTAACTGTGTCTGCAAACACAATATCTATGGGCGATTGAATAGAAGTCAACCTATCTATAATATGTCTATATAATTTATTTTGCTTTGCGGTTCACTATAGCTTTTATAGTTGATGTTAATCCATAACAAAAATGATCAGAAAATATAATTGATCGTTACAAACCGTTGGAACAAAACTAATTCTTTTTTACCAGAAACTAAATTTTCTGGTTGATTGTATTTCAAGTTTTCAGAAAGTAATTGCACAGGATATTAGTTATTCAAGTATCATATTATATCTGATCTTGATCTACATGTATAGGAATAGAATTAGGCTATATATTTGTAGACTGTTTAAACTCCGGTAAACTAAATATCGACTGGTATTTCAGATCGGCAAGCTAATAATTTCCAGTGAGTCTAAAGGTAATTTTAGTCAAAGTTAATGGTGGATCTATCAGAAATAAGCTGCATGTTTAATTTCCTTTTACGAATTTCAAAAAATTCCGCAGTTTTAAACTCAATTTTTTGTTGAAAAGTTAGGCCTTCTTACACTTAAACCATTCGACTTATTTCTAACACAAAAATCCCTATTCTTAGTGATATACGTTTTGTGAAACGCAATGTATTGTACGTATCTAATGATAAAACGATCTAAATTTTTTTTTAAACGGATTCATAATTCTAGATATTATAATTCTAATAGTTGAAATCGTAAGTCAATTGAAGCTAGACCATCATGGAAAACCCGGAAGCACTGGATGGCTGTTCCCTTGGATGCACACTGCTGAGGAGCCCCTTTAGTGGTCCGTAGTTCTCGACTCCATGTAGAGTGTACGAATGTTTGCTATCGCCTATTCTCGTATATCATCGTCGACTTGAATCGCGTTAGTCAATAACGGAATTAAATAAGTCGAATAACGAGAATTGACTTTTGAATACATATATTTTGTACATGAAGCGAATGAAGCTGAGCAAAGAAAAATGACACGCAGGGAAAGTAGCTGGGAAGCCAACTCCATTTTAGTCAAGCGTTACTCAATATTTATAGTCAGACAAAAATAAATTACAGACATGTGATGAGTCATGGGATAATGAAGTGTACACACATATACGCTCATATAAAAACAGTCAAGACTGATAGGCGAATAATTGACAAGGTCAAAATATGACTCAAGTAGAATGAATAGAATGGGATGTCCGGAAGCTAGAATAAGATATATGGGCTTAAAATAATGACTGACGCTACACCCCACAATAGGACGGAACGACCGTCTAATCCTTTCAGGTTTTCTATGGTGGCCTAACTTCAACTGACTCAAAATTATTAAATAATCATGGAAAATGTGGAGTCATTTACGTACCCAAACGACCAAAATAACGTATTGGTTCTTTTTTTGCCAATCCATGATAAATTATTTGACCTCGATAGATTAAAGTTAACGTATCAAATAATTTGTAAATTGAATATTTAGGTTGATGTATAGAAAATATGATGGTACGACCACGCTTGGCTAAACTGTTGGAAACAGATATTAAGGTAGAGATACTTAATACCAGAAATAAACCCACAGAATTTCAAAATCATGAATATTAAGTAATGATATAAAAATTTGACTCTTATGAATTATAGATTGTAATATAACTCTGTGGGTCGTCGTAGGAAACTCTAATTATTTAAAGATGTCATAAGTAGAATGCTTATTTTAAGGTTTCAATATATCATATCCCTTACATATGGAAAACATTAAAAATACATGAATTCGGTAGCTTTGTTAACTACTCCATTAGTAGCATTCTACCGTCGTTGATTTTTCTCAACTTTGTCTGATGTGTATTTAGTTGCTTCGAATTTGACTCCAGTAATATCTTATGAATGATTGTTATTGAAATATACATACCTCTAATCCTCGTTTATAATTATCGACTGAAATCGCGTTAGTGAATAACGGAATTAAGTAAGCCAAATACAAGAATGGATTTCTAACACATATGCTGTGTACACTCAATGATCTGGACAGGCAAGCAGAGAGACAGAGCGAATGAAGCGAAAAGAAGAAAGTGAAACGAGATGACGTGCGATAAAAAAGGCATGTAAGGCAACTCCATTTAATCAAACGTCAATCAATATTTATAGCCAGATAAAAGTAGGTCACGGACCTGATGGATAGGGCAGGAAGTGTACACACATACACTCATATAAAAACAGTCAAGATTTATAAGTGAGTAGTTAACATGGTCAAAATGTGACTCAGAAGAATGGATAAACTGGCCTGTCCAGAAGCTAGAATAAGTTATATGGGCTTAACATGTACATGTACAAAACAAGTTGTAAAGAAAAAGTTGGTAATTGTACTTTTCAACACTGGTAATTGGTAGTGACATTGAAACTAAAGTATGACTTGTCCTAATTAACCACTTCCTTTGATTCTCAGCTGCTCTTGTTAGGGGATTTCATATTAACAGATCTACTAAGAGGTCATATGTTAGTACTTATGAATAACTTACAGTGCGGTTACATATAGGTAAAATTAGAGTAACTCACTTTATTCAAATGGAAAATAAAATAAAATCATCAAGTAAATTGTTCTGTTTCTTACGCTTTAAGTGTTTTTACGACTTGGCCTGCCATATATGCATCTAAACCAGTAGTTGGTTCATCTAAAAACAGTACTGGTGGCTCTGTAATAAGTTCCATTCCAATACTAGTTCTTTTACGTTCACCACCTGATACTCCACGAACTAATTCAGTCCCAACCTAAACAGAAAAACAACAGGAAGACGAACAATTAAAATAAACTGATAAGGATTGAGAAATCTAAGGAGATTTTAATGTAAAAAATATGCATTTTCCATATTTAGGTTTATGTATATATATACTTTAAAAAGCAATAGCTTCATTATAACATAGAAATTAATACAGTAAAGTCTATAAATATTATACCCTGTAAGTGTTTTTAAGATAATAAATGCCTATAAGTTATATGGATTACAGTGATGATAGACGATTCATTAAGTTTGTGTAGTAAGCATCAAATGAGTTTTATAAATTTACACAAACGTAACCGCTTTATGAGGTACGCAGATATGACAGCAATAATTTGAACTGATGGTTGGTTTACAGAAATTTTTGTTTAGCAGTAGCTTACATTTCAAGTAATTCTTTTAGGATCTTGATGATGAATATATCTTGAATCAATATAATAAAGATGTAAACATCAGCTCTTCTTTCTAATACTTTATTAAATGCTCTGAACAAAGATCTTTCTTCTTGCTCTCTTTAAGATAATAAAGGGAACTATGTGTATAAAATGCTCTTCTACACGTACATGTTAACTGGTAAACACAACTGAAATTTATGTAAGGTAAGTATTTGTCTACTTTTGATTGTTTCAACAAGGAATTCTTTTTTTTGTTTCACTGATGTTAACTTTTACTGATATCATGTTATAGAGTATTTGAAGTGATATTGATGGGATGAAAAGTCAAAATTAGGTTGATTTACTCATAATGATTTTTGGTGCAACATTAATTCCGTTTTAATTCAATGTGATGATTATTCAGTGTAGTATTCGGTTGAGTTTTCCCGTATAACCTTTTTATTCTGTATAACATACGATACTCTTGTATTAACATGAACTGTACTCAGTATATAATTCATATTATTCAGAAATGTGATTTTATTCTGATTAGTAATCACAAATCGATGTATGAATCAATATTAAAATGAGCGTATTTTTGAGTAGACTTGTTGGGGGGTTTTTTTGGTGCTTCTAGCTGCTTGCGGAATCTATTTCCCTCTTCCGAACTTGAACTTTTCTTTCTAGTTAACTGGGCTGGAATACATTGTAATAGCTAGCTTATTTGTCGTTGTGTCACAGAGTCTTCATTCCGTTATCAGATTAGGTGAACTCATAATCTCTTCAAATATAACATTAAGTATTTCTAAATAGATAATACTATTATTTTTAGGTTATAGATAGCTGAAGACAATCTGTAAAATGAATCAATTCACTTTAATCTCTTAACATCATTGTTTTTTTAAATCACTTAAATATATATAAAAGATAATAAGCATAAAAATTAACGTGAGAAGAAGACTTCTGAAGCATTAACACTTGAAAGATATTTTGTAAGTCATTTATTCATCAATGAAAATAATACCTAACTCTCAGGCTTTATTTTTACTTGTGCTATCAACAACAACAACAAAAAGAGTGAAAACTTGACCGAAGTCAAATTACTGCTGCGTTTTTTTTTTCATGATGACAAAAAGGTAACATATATCAATACGTATACAGAGTAAGTTGAGTTCAAAATTATAATGAAAAACATGAATAGACCTGTATTTCTATTATTTTAACAGTTCTCTTTTTGTTATTAACTCTAAAATATCTATCTCGAGCTTCTTGTTTTTAAATGAAGATTTGAATAAAACCAAATGTATTTATGTCAATGTTTAGAAATGACAGATAATAACAATTATTTGGAAAACAGAATATATATGTTGATTTATTTGAAAACAACATTATGTATATTAGAATAGAAATCATTTCATGTACATATTAATTTCTCAGTAGTCCTTTTAAAAGCATAAACATTAATAGTTATTTTAACCATGGTAATTGATATTTGCGGATCACAAAAGCTGGTTATGTGTTATCTGACATGAAAATAAAATTGAACTTATAAAGCGCTGGATACCGGCTCATTGGTCTAAACATTAGGCGCTCACTGAAAGACCTAAAAGTCTTGAGTTTGATCTCCCCATAGGAACACTACCGAAGAGTCCCATGTTAAAATGAAACACCTTTTCAGTGCCTCCTGGTTTCTAATGATTGTGTGAATAGGAAAAGTTTGGTATGCAAAGTAGACAATTCAACAATCGTCACAGACACATACTAATAAGGAAACTTATTTGAGTCTATTCAGAATACATAATCTACATAAGCTGTAATATAGTGTTATTAATAGTGATTTTTTTGCTAGCTGGTTCACAATAAAGGTGATTTTATGAGCAGATTTTCAATTTTACATCTGTTCCTACAGATGCATGCAAATGTTTAGGTAATGTTATAAACATTTCCTTACCTTACTATCCGCTACAGCATTTAAACCCAACTCGTCAATGATATCGTTGACCTTTTGATTTCTTTCTTCTGTTGTACAATGCATAGTCATTCGTAGGGCTGCTGAAAAACTTAAATTCTCTCTTACTGTTAAGGTTCCCATTACAATATCATCCTACAAATTGTACAAAATCAAGTATAACTGTAAAATACAAAACGATCTTAGTACAAACAATAATAGAAAATATCTATATAATTCGTATGATGTTACAGACTGGAGTTAGGTGCCGATAAGCCATCCTCTTAGTTGTATATATATATATATATATATATATATATATATATATATATATATATATATATATATATATATATATATTAATTGTCAGGTTAATAATACATAGCTATTAACTGAACTTCATTATTTATCACATGCTTCAAGAAAACGTAAATACTTCTGTGACTACAAAATGATCATGTCAAAGGTGTTTTCAATTTCGTAATGTTTTACGTAAAATTTGTTGATAAATATCCAGTAACTGAATGCCATGAACTGAAGTTCCTGTTAAACAACTATGACCGTTACAAAAATCCCTTTCTATTATGTATATTCCATAAGAGATGGTGGAGAAGATTTGTAGCTCAGGTGGATGATTTTGGTGGTGTTTTGTTCTCCAGCTCAGAGAACAAAACACCACCAAAATTCCATAAGAGAAAAACCCATCATGTGAATTGACATTGATTTTCTTGGTTGTTTAAAGTCTTAGTATAACAATATACAATAGTTGTAGCCTCTGAACAACTACACTAGTTGAATGAAAAGGTATGATAAAGAAGTGGTTCTTTGAAATATGCAGTTGTATAAATTATTTACCTGAACAACATAACCGGAAATACACTTGAAGTTTTTCGGTTGAGGTCTACCGTCAATTAAAACTTTTCCAGAAAGAAATCTCGGATCTTTACGACCAGCTAATACATCTAGAAGCCTTAAATAGTTAAACAAAGATTATAAATTATTGCAAAGAGATATTTTAAAAAATTGATCGAAAATATAAGAAGGTGATAAAACTTTTTCTCCGATTGGTTAGCAGTTTATTACTTTAAACGTAAAATATATCGAAATTAGTTTAGGATTCTAGGGAATTTGTCATTCCGAAAATTGTGTTTACAATGAATCAATAGTACACTAGGTAGCTCCGTTATGTTCTTTCGAGTGTTCGCACCATTCAACGTCTTTGGAATAATGAAATGCATAACAGAGACACTTTGAGCTATAAATTTACAACTAACTTTTTCAAAATCTTTTTGATAATCCAGTTAGTTGGTGACCAAATGTGATTAATGTTAAATTGGTTACCTGAATTTACTTGACTTCACAAAACATACTTAAAACTTTCTCATTTCAGAGAATAATATTTCCAGATGTACGTTTTATTCACATGAAGTATGGATATAAAATTTATTTTTTTCTATGGAAGACAAATTTTGAAAACTATTTTGTTAAACTTTAATAAATGTGTAACATCTAATTTCTAATTCATCATTATTATGATGCAACTAGGTGAACGTATAGCTTTAAATTTGGTCAATTCTAGAATTTACGCATATTCTCTTAAGTCTCCTTTTGCCTTTCCCCATTTCTAGTCTAGTTAACCCTTTATTTTTATATATAAATGTTCTTAACAAGTATATGTGTGATCAGATTGTTCGAAATGTATTGCGCTAATATACTACATAGTTCTGATAATCGTCTTCTTAATACACTATGAACATAATGTTCAATTTGAAGAATGAATTGCCAAAGACGAATAAGTTATTTGTAATATAGAAGTTCCCAGTTAATTTTCCCCAATAGGTTTCTGATAATTAGCTATGGTGATTGTTCTAGAATATTTAGGACAATACTATTATTACGTAATATAACGAAATTTGTCTAAGAAGGTATAGAAATAAAAAGAGATCGTGTGAGCTTAACACACTAGATTATCATTATAGTTAGTTAGAAAATTAAAAATGAAGAATGAAAATGTCTAGTGTGCTTCCGTTATCAAGTCAGTTAAAGGTTGATCATCGACACTTTTTATGGACAAAGATCGGGCTTAAGCCATCGAAACGTTAAAGCTTCCGCAAAGCTTAATAAGATAGAATCGTATTATTTATTGATCACTGTGAATGAGTTCACGGTGTCAACGTTATCTCCAGCGTCTACTAAATAACAAGCTAACAAACTACGATGGCTGTTTTGTCCTCAAACGTGTAAATTCTTGGGAATATTTTCAGTAAAAAGAGTAGAGGTTCCACTTTCTAATTTTCAAATGTGCATTCATTTTCATTTAACTTGACATAAGCAGTTGAACGTAACACATGACAGGTATTTATCTACTTTTGTTTGTGTTACTGAACATAATGTTTTGTTTAGTAGAACTAGTTTAACACTAGAGAATGCACCTTTTTCAAGGATGTTATTAGTTTTTGGTTATTTCTGTTCATGTGGTTTAATTATTAATCATAAGGTGTTACGAAAGATAGTTATAATAAAAAATATAAGATATTAACTAAATATCTGTTTCTCACTAAGTAACCATTGAAAAAAAGCAAACAAGAAAATTCTTATGTGATCGCATTAGCTTTTCTGTACACTTACGAAGATTTTCCACTTCCAGTTGGTCCCATAAGGGCATTCATTCCGGGTCGAAGAATTCCACTAAAAGAAAGTAAAACAAACCCCATATATACTAAGAAATATTCTATTGTTGTAGAAGATTAACATTTATATGAAATACTAGATAACTTTCGCTCAGGCAGAGGTTCATGGTGTTGATAAATAAAGATTATTTCCAGTGTTCATCAGCAACTGTCTGACAACCTGGCCACTAGTTTATCACAGTCAATGTAAGACTGACATATTTATGCATCAGCCCAGTTTGCGGCATTCCATATTCAAATAACGAGAGAGAAAATCAACAAGATAAAAATAAAAGTAGTCGAAACGATAATACCAGTGGTAATCAGAATTCAATAGAACATAATTTTCAAAAGAAACAAATGAATTCAAAATATGAAAATATCAAATAGCATTGAATTTTCAGATCTAATATTAAATAATGAATAAATACATCAGTGACATAGAGAATGGTGTAAAGTCACAACACCTAGTGTTCAAACATATATTACAATTACTGTGCCTGTCTCCAAGAAGTCTACACCTCTTGAACCTGTGAAGTTTAACAATAGATGGATTCATAAACTATCACCACATCTTGAAAGCGTGTGGTGGCGATTGGGTACGAGTTCATGTAATTTTCGACTTGTCGCTTGATAGGCAGACCACCCAATCACTTCAGTCAACTTACCTAGCAAAATATTTCAATTTAGAAGGTGATAAACATCAATTGGAGGAGAAAACTGCAGTTTTAAGCGAGTAATACAATTACTGAACATCTCATAGATATTGGACATCAGGTCGATATCTTGCAATCTTTCAAGGTGATTATAAAATAGTCAAATTCCGGTCTACTGAAGTTAATGAAGCCGTTTCTATCAGGCGTCAGAAACCTGATTTATGTGTTAAAAAGGAGATCGTTGTTAATCCTTCTTTGACTCGGTGACAAATATTCCTTCATTACATCATGAAATTTTGTCCATCTCTTTCTTTCAGTTAATTACATCATTAAGTTCTCTTATTTCGACTGTCTTCTGGTTTAGTAATCTTATTTTGATTAATTGAGCTTTACTCAATTTATTCCTACTTATTACCAGCGTATATGCATTATGTAACCACTCGTTTCTAACTCTTTAAACCTTTGTCACTATCACTGTTGTAGAATGTTCTTTTACATAAGCTATTTATTTACAATATTTTGTTCAGTCTATTAAACTTACACACTCGATATGCTTTCCTGATATGTTTTCTAAATAACTTCTAACTAAGATCTGCTATGCAAGTAATTTAAACTCATTTTGTAGTTATGATTTTTAGATACCACCGGTTGTAAGCAGTTGATGAGAACCAAACGAAATAAAATGAATACCTTATATTCTGTTCAAATATTTCTTCTAACTCTATAATCAATAATTCTTGCTCCCTCAGTAATTTAACATCAGTCTTGTCGTTTGGGTGACTTTTATGTACCCGTATTATTATTTATAACTGCCATATAATCCTATTTTTAACTTTACATTTTCCTTGATCACTATATTAATATACACTTACTTCCATTACATTTTTATCATTTTATTCTGTTACATATCACTCATTTGCTACTTTATTGTTTTTAATCATTGTCCTTAATTTTAACAATAAAAATAGGTCATGGTATTATTTGGTATACTTATAATCTAGCTGTTTGTACTCCACACTTTTTTGAAAATTCTCTACTTCCATCAACCGATTAACTATCCATTAGAAAATAGCAATATTGGCTAGGCTGTAAAGTCAAATATTGATTGAATAATATATAATATACAAGTGCAACGAATAAACCAGATCAGTAATTGACAAATGAAACACGTGAATCTTTAAGAAGTCTATCATGGAAATGAATCCACCAGAACTGAAATAGTCACTGGGATTTTCTTTAAGTGTTTTTGAGTAATTTCTTACGTATATTAGACATAAATTTAACTGTTATATAGCACTAATTTGTAAGTTGGAACCAAGTCAATTTCATATCAGAAGTATCTATAGAACTGTGTTTCAATACTTTTCACCTAAAAATAAACTGCACCTCATAAATACTCCTAGATAGTGATAGTAAGTGTATGCAGTTATCTTCAATGGAAATCTGCTTGCAACGCAAGCACTTGCAAGAGATAATAAAAAGGAATACAGATTTTTGTGATGACTAGTTAACGGCTTACCATCCCCATATATACTATAGCAAAGATATCGGTATTAAATATAAAGTTAAGTATATGATACCAATAGCAGTTTTTTTATTTATAAATCAACTGAAACCACCATCAGTAAAGTGGGCCACATTCTGAAGATAAAAATATCGTGTTATATTATAGTGTGTAACATGTGGGCAGTTCCAAGATTCCAAACAATCTTGGTGTTTGTGTTTGCTAAAAGAAAATCAAACTTTCGAAAAAAATAGTTGAGGATTGTAGAAATAAACTGAATCTAATTCCGTTTATCTTAGAAGATCCCTATTGCTTTCAAATGGCTTTGAAACAAAAAACAAAAGGAAACAGAAGATGTTACTACGTTTGTGTAATTTTTTAAGGCCCTCTGACCAATATTACGTGCCAAGTCATCAATCAGAATCCTAATTTAATTTGGTCTGTTATTTAGCTACTCTCTAGAACCTAACTTGAGTCCATAAATAGAAACCAACCTCTACTAAGTTCATATCTCGAACGGACATGGTTTACATACAGACAAACCGGACCGGACCACAACATAAAATGAAAAGCAACAATCGTGCATAAACAAGTTAAAATTGTCTGTGAATAGGAGAGAGTGAGCAACAGACCACAAGTAGTCAATTGTATGATAATAGTTTGTGGGTCAACTGAAAGCTTATGATAAGCGGAATATATAGACAAAGTAATCTAAACACTTGATAATCATACAACAAAATTATGATTAATAATAATTCAGAAAACCATTTCCTACTTCTACAATATCCGTTCCGTTATAACTGTTTTTTACTATCGTCTTATATGTCATGGTTTGCGCTAAAACATCTATGATTGAATTCGATATAAGTAGTGCTAGAGATTATTGATGGGATCTATTGTCACAACTTTACTACAATTTTACTCGGACTCTCTCAAATTACATTTTGTTCGCTAAGTTATATTTAATAAGGTTAGTAATGACATGCAAATTTGTGAAAACAGTGAAGCCAGTTAAAAAGTGCACTGTATATCAGAAATTTAATTTTCTTCAATTAATTTCACTTGAAAAACAAGAAAACGACAGTTGGATCAGCAGATTCGTTTTATACTTATCAAAAACGGAATTCGCCATCGACAACTTCTGGATTCGCATAAGATGTGGCTTTTGATTCGAGCTTTTAAATTGCATATTTTTATTTCTTGTTATCCCTAGTTTGTTGTGGCTCGAGGACGCTGATCGATATCATGCATTAAACCGTTCAATCAGGATTCCCATTACCGACTAGTTCACTTGTATCCCAGTAGGATCGCCGACCTATTTGCCAACTGACACGCTGATGAATAAACAACGGCCTAGATCTTAACGTTCATTGACCCTCAAGATCCTCTTTTTCCCAGTAGTCAATCTGAAGACACAGACAGGAATTAGATTTATTCTCACTCATAACTAATGTACTTAAAATGACTGACCACAGCACAAAAAAACAAGAAACCATTATTTTAACACAATGACATCCCATGTGGTAGAGATTGGAAGAAACAGTTCATTATTAGTTGACAACTAAGGGAAAGTGAAACATACAGCAACAGTTAATAGGTCTACTGAAAGCTTACAATAAGAGGTATATCGAAATGCAATCACACAGTTATCTACTGTTTATACAATAAAGATATGAATAAAAATACTCCGAAAAATAATTCCGAAAATTTAGACTTTTTGGATATGCGTTTCGTTATAACACAAGTTTCACATGATTGGTTTCAGGATCATATCGTTGTTTCTAATTTGGATCACTAATTGAAGTCAACAATCCACATTTCTTATTTTTGCTTAACAGAATAGTTAACAGAAGAGAGCACACTCTAAATAGTACTATTCGTTAGTCATTTGTGTAGTAGCCTTTTTTATTCAATGTGGGCATAATTACAAGACTTTCTCAATCTTAATTTAAGTATATAAAAACAAAATACTAAATTTCTTCATTATTATTGATGATGTTGCATCACATATCAAATCAATATTACTCAAAAGCATAACTTCATATGTTTTAAATCCTAAATCTACTATTCGGAGTGAACATTTATTCTGGGATGCAAGTACACCCAGCTGACGAGTTCCAAATAGGATGAAACGCGCGTGCTGGATCCCACTGCTAGCCACCAATCATCCTTGCCATCCAACTTCTGTTTAAAAGCAGCTTTAGATTACAGCAAACTATAATAAAGTATAAGAAACTGTAAGAAAAATAATATACGAAAGGTAAACTGTAAAATTTTATTTTAACAACATATTTTTTTCATCTCACCTTACATCATCAAGTATTGTCTTTATCACTGGTTTACTACAGAGTGTCTTTTGAATTTTTACTTCATAAGAAATATGATGAAAAGAAAGTTTAGCACCACTTATTTTTTCTCGTTGACTGAATGAACTACCGGGAGTTGGTGGATATTCATCAAAATCTGTTAATGTTTGTTTTTTACTCATTGTACTTTTGACTTGGTTGTAACTTTTTTCAATATTTGTAGGTTGAATACTATTATTGGATGTATTTTCAGAGATTGTTTGTGAATTCATTTTTTTATATGGAAATTTCCCATCTTGTATTGTATCATGTAATGAACGATATTGCATATGATCTTCAGTTTGAGTGTAATTATGATCTAGAGGATCGTTCAATATTTTAAATGCTTCAAAAGATCCATCTGTTGTAACCGGTAGATCGGCGTGATCAATTGTATGATTGCGAAATAGTTTACTGTCTGGAAAATTGGACATGTTTGAAGAGTGTGTTGGCACTGATGTACTAAATTGAGTATCTTCAGGAGATGTGATTTGGCTACTATCAAATGGCTGTGGACTACTTGAGTTTATTAGCTGTTTTAGACAGTTGTGATGCTGAAATAAATATAGAACTCAGAATTAAGATCTCATTTCAAAAGAAATATTGTTTTAAATTCAAGTTTCAGATCAAATATACCTTTTCAACAAGATTTCTTGCTTAAATGTCATAGAGGTGCGATTACATTCTATCAAACACATTTAGCTTGGTATCCACAGTTTTTAATTTATTTCGAGGTAAAATTTGTAAAGAGTATGAAGTACTATTCTTCGCGCAATTATTGAAAACCAAACTGAAATGAACTTATTGTTGTATTTCATTCTGTTATTCTAATATGAATGTATAATTTCTACCTAAATTGGTATGGAACTTGGTAGGTTTATACCTAGGAGAATGTAAATCATACCTTGGAAATTATAACTGATTCTTCAAAAAATTGTAATTATGACAAAATAAGATATAATCAATGTTCTTTAAATCAAATCAGCAAGCATTGGAGTTGATTACGTAATTCAAGGATCGAATAACTACTGAAACTGCTTGTCATTTAGAAAGAAAGTGAATATTTTGTAGAATTATTGAATCGCAAACAACGTAGATCCGAGGATTAAAACTTACGAATATTTCAAGATAACGAGTGAATGTATCTGGGCCAATGCAATCGATTCTAAGTCATGTCATCCAACATCTCTGTTAATTGAGATAATCGAGAGGATCTCAACCATGTTGTCTGCATGTACGAACACAGCCCAAATCAACAGGCGATGATTTCATAGAATAATCCCACTTTTCTTTTTGGTTGTATCTAGATTTCCTCCAACCTATTCCTACATCACCAAACATGACATGTCGAAGTTGTCCGTACCTAGGCATCCGTAAACACATATTTAATAATTAGTTTCCAGATGGATTTTTTTAGTTCCCTCCAGAAACTAATGACTAGTAGATTTTGTTTATATTTAGAATAAACTAGATATTTACTAATGCGACTTTATGATCACCACGCTTCATTTGTGAATTGACCAACGTTAGGAATACTGACCATTCGGTTACAGCATACAAATAAATATGTTATTGAACCCAATATCGTACGGAAAGAAATAGTTCCTTACAATTAGCTACCTATTACTGCTCTGGATTAAGTATATAAATTTTAAAACAAAATATCATATTAATATCATTAAAATAATTATGATTTAATCAACAGCAATATCTATAGTAATAACCATTAGTTATTAAGAGACAGGATACAAAATTTAGTCAGTTTTTTCAGTTAGTTAAATTAAAAATCAAATTTTCATTTATATTGATTCTCTAATCAAATTTAAAACTTATGCAATAGCTTTAATCGACTGACGATCTCAACTATTGAAATTACTGCAATCTCTACAAAACCCCTTCTGACACTAATCAACATAAGCTTACTAGTGACTTGCTTCCAGAGGTATATCTTGGATTTCTAGTGAGAATCACTGACCATTGAAGTTCAACCGGGTCAGTTGTGTGATAGTAACTGACTGATGACAACAGTGGGTGTTTCGCTAAATTTCGTGGATTAGTTGAAGTTAGACATTAACACCAGTGGAGGCCGGTCAGATCAGTGGTTAAGCGCCTGGAGTGAGACTGATAGGTTCTGGGTTCGAACCCCGCGGGGTGGGGTCGTGGATGCGCACTGCTGAGGAGTCCCATACTAGGACGAAACGGCCGTCCAGTGCTTTCAGGTTATCCATGGTGGTCTACCTTCAATTGACTCGTGATCTCAACTATTGAAATTATGCATTAGTACTGAATTATGATAAGGAACTATCTGGAAGGAAATATTTTGGAACTTCATTTGTATATTTATATATTATGTTTAATAAGATAATATTATGTTTTATTTCCCATATTTTTAAAATTATATGTAAATTGTAGTCATAAGAACTAAAAAAATTTCCTAATTAAGGACATTTAAATATTTTTATACATACCATGTAATATATTACAAAAGATATGCTTAATTCTTGTTTACAGAAAATCCATGTGATATTGTAGAGCGCATTCTGGAAAGAAATGCTTCGAGATTTTCCAAAATAGAAATCAATACTTATTTAATACTCACTCATCATAAATATATTACGAATTTCTGTTTTATTGTCTTCCTTAGTTTATATGATTATTAGGATAGTCGTAATAATAACGGTTTTATCAGTAATTTTGTATCTACGAGAGTAGAAATTTCATCATTATCAAAGACAACAAAAAATTCAATCCAACTAACAAGTCTCCAATGGGACGAAACATGTATCCTAGATTCCACTGCTAGCCACCATCTATCTCTGCCTATGATGAAGCAATGAGTTTAGTTATGAAGTAATGATTACACTACTTTTCTGTTTAACATGAAATAAAAGTTTTATATTAACCCTTCCAGAAATGATAATAAACAGTCTTTCACCATAAAGGATTCATAATTTATAGCTATTGATTCTATATTAATAACTTTTTAGTATATTAACTCTTGTGTTCCTTGATGAAAGTTTGATAGCTCTACATGATCTAGTAAACTATATCTTCTAATAAATTACTCAATTTGATTGTTTTCTGTTTTTTTGTCACTTATTTCATCACTTACTGCACTATTGTGGTGTTCGCTGCTTGTGTGGACAGATATAAGTAGTATCAAGCAAGAATAGGAATGCATACCAGCAGGCGATTGAAATAAAAAGAGGAAGGAAAACACAGAGTATTCGGAATAATAACAAGATTGAAAAGATCGTGGAGTATTTAGAGGAAAAATCAAGAAAGATAGTCAAATGATGTATTTAATGCATGATTTTCATAATTTACATATGCACTGTTCAAATCTTCATTTAACACACAACTGGTTTCCTACCGTCATAATTACCGGTTGGATTTATTATTCTGTGTAATTACATTTCTTAAATAATTCATGTACAAAACACATTATATTTAAATATCACTTAACATTTATAACTATAAAACAAATTTATCATCCTATTATTTTTCTAAAAATAACTATTGGAAAGTAACATGGCTTGATTCATAAGAATAATACAAGGCCTAGACAAATAAAAGGCTTACAAAAGCGGAGAGATGGCTTGATGGTTAAGACCTTCGACTTTTAATGACTGATTCCCTATTTCAAACACCGGTAACTGGGTATTATTATTACTACCCTTCATAGTTAGAGTAATGTTAATATCTAGTCCGTAGTGAGTTAATTTAAAACTTTTTTGTAGGGAAAGATTCATTTACGTATCAAACACTAATTTAAATATTGATCAAAACGACGTTGAAATATACGATAAAATATCTACTATTATAATTATTAGGTCAGTACATAAATTTCAAAGTATTGAATTGGTAGTAATTGACAATAATTAATAAATAATTAGAGGTGTGTATTTAATTTTTCAAGTAAGTGCGTTGAATTCTTGTAACTATAGTGAACGAGAACACATGTGAAGATAATTTAATGTATTTGAATACAAAATTACAAAACGTCTTAGTAAAATATGAGAACCATATAGTAAATACTTCATTTGCAAAATATCATCGTGTATGACTGTCAATACTTTCTGGACCTTAACGGATGACAAAAAATCTATCGAGTGCAACTCTACATCGACCTCTTTGGATACAAACAACGAATCATTAGTAAGAGTCTTTAAAGATACCGTTTTTGGTTCCCCCTCGAGGCCTAAATTATCAGCTAGGTCATCAACTATGAGAGAGGTATCTAACCCGCTATCTAGAAAGGCGCAATTCTGAATAATCTTCTCACCAATTTTATTCATACAGGCACTACTGCAAATGCTACTGGTCTCTGTATACACTTAACGACTTCCTCCGTACAAAGCTTAGTATCGATGTAGGCATCACTATTAGTACTTCTTTGTTCTTCCCGCTTCTCGTGTGACAGAGTATGGTGTCTCCAGCCACACCCTTCAACAGCACATGACCTCGGCGATCGACAGTTTTTTGCCACATGGTTTGCCTTCAAACATACATTACACAACTTGTGTCTAAGAACGAATTCTTTCCTTTCTCTAACATTCTTATCTTTAAACTTCTGATATTGATCTAAAGAATGATTACTTAAGCACTGCAAACAAGATGAACTGCGTAAGGGAGCGTTATCATCACTAGCACTAGCATAAGATATTCTTGCTGCATTGTAATCTGCACTAATTTTCCCTTTTAAAACACCACAATCTCTATTGTCACTATTACTACCGCGGTTGACAAGTAGGCCGTATCTAGTATTAGCTATATCAGCTTGTTCCTTTTCAAACTCAACAAGACTGGCAAACAGAGGCTTTCGACCTTCTCTGATAATCTTATGAGCTACCTTTAGCCACTCTCGTTGAATGTGCGTTGGTAATTTCAGAACCATAATTTCAATAGTTCTATAAGAGTTCAAATCAGAAACGTAATTCATCTGTTCAAGAGTCAAACCAAATGCTTCCTTTTCAACATCAAACTTGTAATTCGTGACTATGCATTTTTTGATAGTAGCGAGTGAGCTGCCCTCACGATCCTTAACCGCCAAAATTGCGGCTGTGATCATGTCAATCGTCTCAGACTTCGGTGTTTTTTTCGTTTCCACACTAATCATTCTCTGGTCTTGTTCTCTTTTCTTCTATCTTCTTAACCTTCTGCCGCCAAACATTTCACATTCAATTGTTGATACATACTACTTATATCTGTCGACATTAGTAGCACACACCACATAACTAATACTGGATGCGCACCGCTGAGGAGTCCCATACCAGTACGAAACGGCTGTCCAGTGCTTCCAGGTTTTCCATGGTGATCTAGCTTCAATTAACTCATGATTTCAACCAGTGAAATTTTTAAAAAATCTCCACAAAACCCATTCTGATAATAATACTTATTATCAAATTATTGAGCTATATATTCTGTTTTTTCTTAACAGAAAGTATAATTCATTTCAGTAGATAACATGAAGTATTCCAGTTAAACAATAGAAATGAAATACATCAATGTACTTTATTACAAATAAGGACATACAGTTTGCGTGCAGCTTTATAACCACACCCATAACACTTAAACAAAAATAAAAATTACTAGATAAAATGTTCATTTCGTAAAATAAATTTCAACACCTGGTAATTACACTGAATTTTTCTTTTACTTTTTTTTCAAAAAAACTAATCACTACATTAGGTATGTCAATAAAACATAATGCACGATAGGTATTCAATAATAAATGTCATTTATTTAACAGTTATAATACAGTAAAATAATCCTGTATTATCAGAATAGGTTTTGTGGAGATTTTAAGAAATTTCACAGGTTGAAATCATGAGCCAATAGAAGCTAGACCACCGTCGGAAACCTGGAAGCACTAAACGGCGGTTTCGTTCTAGTATGGGACTCCTCAGCATATATACCGTTGGATGCCGGCTCAGCGGCCTAGTGGTTAAGTGCTCGTGCATGAAACCCGTAGGTCCCGGGTTCGAATCCCGCGGGGTGCGGGGTCGTGGATGCACACTGCTGAGGAGTTCCATACTAGCACGAAACGGCCGTCCAGTGCTTCCAGGTTATCCATGGTGGTCTAGCTTCAACTGACTCATGATTTCAACCTGTGAAATCCTATATTAAGCGAAGTACATTATTGTATAGAATAAGAATTCCAATCATATAATACGTTTTTTTTAATTATGTAAGTATCAGGTAACTAAGAACTCTATACTGATGAAATATGATCTAGCTATTGTTTTTAAAACAATTTATATATCATGTGTTATCAGAATTTCCTTGGAATGTTAGAAGAGTCAGTTAATTGATCAATTTTTCTATGTTAGTCTTAATCAACTTTGTTTTCCTATATATACATATTATTGGTGATAAAAACGAATGATAATTTGTAGTTTATATTATAATTGATCATTTTGTTTCCTGATTACATATTCTGTTCAATATTTTATTGAAGGTTACAAGAGAATTATCTTGTTACAATATAAAAAACAAATAGTTAGTTTGTTAGTATATTCTTGAAATGAATACTTTTTAGTTAACGAAAATATTCTTTCAGAATCATTTTTATTCTGAAGAAGCAAACTATAAATTTATTTGTTTATTACAATAATCTTACCAGTATAAAGGTTATGGAGATTATTAAGTTTCTTATTGAGATCATGAACCAATTGAAGCTAGACCACCGTCGGAAACCTGGAAGCACTAGACGGCCGTTTCGTCCTATTGTGGACTTCTCAGTAGTGCTCATCCACGATCCTGCCCACGGAATTCGAACGCAGGGCCTTCATTCTCGCTCGCGAACGCTTAACCTCTAAACCACGAAGCCGACATCCAGCGGTGTTAGTGTCTAACATCAACCAATCCACGAAATTGCACGAACATCTTCCATTGTGTTGAGGTAGATACCTGTCTCTACTCAACACGGATTAGCTCCACTGGTCACGGCTCCTCACTGGAACTCCGAGAATTCCCTCACGAAGTTAGTCACTGGTGAGCACATGTTAATTGCCAGTATAGGTTCGAATCCCGCGAGCGGGATCCTGGGTGCACACTGCTTAGGAGTCCCACAATAGGTCGAAACGGCCGTCAAGTGCTTCCAGGTTTTCAATGGTGGTCTGACATCAATCGGTTCATGATCTCAAACAATAATTTTACAATTTTTAATACGGTTAGTATTATCAACTAACAGAAGCATTTTCAACGATAATGTTGTACGGTACCGGTTTAGATTACAGTATTGGAGATATTCTAGAGGATAAATTCTGATGAAAACTAGTTAAGCCTTCTTTTATCTGTAAGCTTTAGGTATATAATATCATTATACTGAAGTATGTAGAATTTGGGACTTGTATATCAAGTCTTTAAGGAATTGATACCCTGTGAAGAATTTAAATTTATGTCAATATGTCACAGTGAAGGACTTTATCACTGAGCGATTCATGCTGCTACAGACCATCTGAAAGGTTGGGAAAATTACAAAAGTCAGTCACCGATAAGTAACCAATTTCATGTCTTTAGGGCCGGTCGAACTCTATCGATTTTTCTGTTCATGCAAATGAAGTGAAATGCTTTCATGATTTATTTTGACTTCATGTTTATTATCTTAAACAACAAGCCTAAACCACTTTCCTAAAATATATCATAGTACACAATATGGTTTGTAGGTTGTAATCATCGTGAATTCCTTCTACTTGTAGTACAATTGGAACCTAGGTAGCACTAGACAACTTTGCTGTACTAACGTGTGACTACTTGACTGCTGGTACCCACGATTTCAATAAGGATTGAACTCAAGACCACTGAATCTTAAAAGTAGAACCATTGGGTCAGTATTCTATCGTATGAATTCAACTTCAATCAGTTTATGATATGCTGTGACTGTCATCCAAGCTTATGGTTGGATACCTGTTTCACACCTGAAATACCTGAACTCCTTGGGTCACTATTTCTCATTCTAACTTCAGAAACATCTTGAAATAAACCAGTAGTAAGCGGCAAAATCTGAAAAACCTGGGTTCGTTCACTACTTAGGTTATGGATAAGAACTTCCGGATAGATCAGCACTTGTAAGTCACAGCTGTCTTGATGGTTCTCCAACTGAGATCAATTTCTGACGACTTTAATCTACAAATCAAACCAGTCTAACCAAAACCTCTTCAAAGAAATGTAAAAAATGCTAACTTTTAATTGTAAACAACGGGATAATATTGTTCAGTTAGACATTAATGTATACAATCAATACCTATTGTTTAGTCCATACTACTAAATATAAGCATTACTAATTAACATATTGTTGAATTTGATTTTTCAAAATATTTAAGTTTACAACAATGGATTGATGTCCATAAATCAGACGATTTCCAAAGCAATTGCATACCGGTAGATATGCTTTCCTAGAGATATTTAGTCAATCGTGAAACACAATTTTAAATAAATAACCTAAAAAAGTTAATAATTTATGCAAAATCTCTCTGCACAGCGAATGAATGTTTTCACCTAGATATTTGAAACAATATTACTACATTTTAGGTAGACATGGGTGGTGGTTAGCAATAGAATCCACGAGGCAGGTTTCACCCTATTTTGGACTCGTCAGGTGGAGTTACCTGCACCCTAGTGTTGTCGGTCACTCCAGGTCTCGAACTTAGAGCCTTTCATTTCAAACGTCAAATCATTATTCACTTCATCACCAAGTCCAACTAACCACTGGATGGGTAATGAAGTGAATTTTAATTCGTTCGCACTAGTCGTCTGAAATTTCATTTTGATGTTTAGAACTTTACTTTACCAGGCGCACCCAGCTGATTAGTTCCAAAATAAGACTAAACCTGTGTTCTGGATCCCACTTATAACTACCATATATCTCTACTTCAAATATTTGTACCTTGATGTCAATGTCAACGCAATCAGCACGGGATGCATGTGTATCAAGAGGAATTGATCAACTCAAGTCATAAACGCCAATGAAAAGATTGAAACAATCGATACAAATGAATTATTATTACAGTCCTTTAACAAGAAAATGGTGAATCAATAAAACTGTACTTCCTCTACTGAAGTGAAATATAACTGTATAATTTAAGTTTCGGATAATTTCAAGTATTTTTCAAATAAACGAAAAATTTTTAGATTCAGTCTCAGATGTATAGTAATATAACCCTTTTCAATTTTATTTTCAAGTATAAGAATAAGTATAAGTATAAGCTCTGTAACGAGTGTCAAAATATGGTCACATACCTAGATGTTATACTTTCAACGATAATATCTTTGACTAATAGATTTATAAATTTAAATAACACAAGAATGATCACATCAGACTCTAAGATGTTGTATTTTAAAATTGTTTCATTTACTTTAAATACTACTATGTATTTAAAAAGCTTACACTTCTTAAATCCCTAGGTTTTTCATTCATTCTTGGCATAGAATTATATTGTTGAGATTGTATTACTTGTTCATTTTCATGCTGGAAAAACTTCATATTGTCATTATTTGATGTAAATACTTCATTTTTATACTCAGAATTATGAGCCGATTGATTAGTTTGTTTAATAATTTGTGATAAACAAGTGAATTCCTTGAAATTTGTCTGTAAATTATGATGGAATTTTCGTTTGTGTTCATTTATGTGATATTCACTTATGGATTTCATGATTTTATGATTAACATTATAATCATTATTAATATTATGATTATTATTCGTGTTACCGTTGGTGATAATGTTAGTATCACAATGATTTATAGACATTAATGAAATAGGTAATGTCATTTCGTATTTTTTTGATCTTTGTTTGTTTTAACGTTTGCATTTCACTGTGTTATATAGTCAGGTGAATCATTATTATTATTGTCAGCATCATCATCATTAACACTGTCGTTGTGATGTGAACAATTTTTTGCTGCTATTGTTGGATGTACTCCAGATTCATGAAAGTCAAGTGACTAAATATCATCAAATATAAAAAATAACTAATTTTAACTTCTTTTTAATATTCAAAGTAATGAAAAATTAAAATAATAAATAATAATTAAATATAACTTACCTTTCTGCTTATTAAACAAGTATCGGATGGTGATCTTATCATATTGAAAATTAATAAATTAGTTGATCTTTGATATTTACGTGGTGGTAACTGTGGTGGTCTTACTATATCTATTTCGTGTGATCTTTTAAAGTCAATATCAATAACATTATCATCATTGTAATTATTATTAGTAGTATAAATATCAATATCATTATTATTTTGACTTACACAGTGAACATGATGTTGATATGGATAATCATAAGGATTAAATGAATTACTATGCATTGAATAGGAAGACTTTTTCTTATCAAGACTTTTTACATGTTCAATATTTAAACACTGTAGATTTAATACACCACTAAATTTTTGAAAATCATGATTATTTTCTATATTGGTATTATCGAGGTCATAGTTTGGTTCATATGCAATATTTATTTGTGATGTATTCAATTCATTACGATGAATACTATGTGTTTTACCAATAATTGGTATGTCCATTTGATTATTATTTTCCATTCGGTAGATTTTATTTATTTACATTCCAATGTAACAAGCTTGCTAAAACAACTATGATATATATATATTCGAATGACGGACAGGTATTTCAAGAGTGTTCCACTGAATTTTATTCTTTGAAAAATATGCTCATTTCCTTCTACTGTTATGCAGAGTAATATCTACGAACATTATTGATTACTGTTTGAATACATTTCAGTGATATATTATTTCTACGGTTCGATATTATTCAACACTGACGAACAATTTATGTTTCCATGTATTTTGGGTAAGAAAAATAGATTAATTAGCCGGTTCATGTTTACAATAAAGTGGTATAAGCCGACTGATAATAATGCCAGTAAAAAAGAAGCAAATTAAGCAATGGTCTTAAAGCCAATAGAAAACGTGGATAAAAAAATGAATCGTTGCTATGACAATCAATTATAGTTTTTACCAATCTGATTCCTGAATACAAAGTATTAATAAAGAAATAAAATCATAAGAGAAATTTTTTCATAGTTCACATCACAGAATAATCTTAGTTAATCACAGGTTGAAAGCTGGATAACTTTTGAAAGATTCTCCATCCTAATGTACTTACTTACTTACTTACTTACACCTGTTACTCCTCGTGAAGGAGCATAGGTCGCTCACCAGCATTCTCCATCCAACCCTGTCCTGGGCAATCCTTTCCAGCTCCTTCCAGTTGTTATTCATCGTTTTCATATCTGCTTCTATTTCTCAACGTAATGTGTTCTTTGGCCTTCCTCTTTTTCGCTTCCCTTCAGGATTCCAAGTTAGGACTTGACTCGTGATGCAGTTTGACGATTTGCGTAATGTATGTCCTATCCATTTCCATCGTCTTTTCCTAATTTCCTCTTCAGCTGGAAGCTGCTTTGTTCTCTCCCACAGAAGGCTATTGCTGATGGTATCCGGCCAATGGATGTTGAGTATCTTGCGTAGACAGCTATTTATAAATACTTGTACTTTCTTGATTGTGGTTGTTGTAGTTCTCCAAGTTTCAGCTCCATCCAGTAGAATTGCCTTGACGTTCGTATTGAAGATTCTCACTTTGATATTGGTTGAAAGTTGTTTTGAGTTCCATATGTTCTTCAATTGTAGGAATGCGGCCCTTGCTTTGCCAATCCTCGCCTTTACGTCTGCATCTGAACCTCCTTGTCTATCGACGATGCTTCCCAAATATGTGAAGGATTCTACATCTTCCAGAGTTTCGCCATCAAGGGTGATTGGATTACTGTTCTCCGCTTTGAATTTGAGGACCTTGGTTTTCCCTTTGTGTATACTGAGGCCTACTGATGCAGAGACTGCTGCTACATTGGCTGTCTTTATCTGAATCTGTTCACGTGTACGTGATAGGAGGGCTAGGTCATCTGCGAAGTCCAGATCGTCTAATTGGTTCTGAGCTGTCCATTGTACTCCGTGTTTTCCTTCCGATGTCGAGGTTTTCATAATCCAGTCGACCACCAGAAGAAAGAGGAAGGGAGAGGGTAGACAGCCTTGTCTGACTCCGGTCCTTACTTGGAATGCATCTGTCAGCTGTCCTCCATGCACTACTTTGCACTGTAGTCCGTCGTATGAGTTCCGGATAATATTGACAATCTTCTCAAGAACTCCGTAGTGTCGAAGAAGTTTCCATAATATCCTCCTATCTACACTGTCGAATGCCTTTTCATAATCAATGAAGTTGATGTATAGTGACGAGTTCCACTCAACTGATTGTTCGACGATGATCCGTAGTGTTGCAATTTGGTCTGTGCACGACCGATCCTTTCGGAATCCAGCTTGTTGATCTCGAAGTTGGGCATCTACTGCATCCTTCATCCGGTTCAGCAATACTCTGTTGAAGACTTTCCCTGGTATTGACAGTAGTGTAATGCCTCTGTAGTTTTCACATTTGCTCAGATCTCCTTTCTTTGGAATCTTGATGAGGTGTCCTTCTTTCCAGTCCATTGGCACTTGTTCCTCCTCCCAAATCTTTTTGAATAGAGGGTAAAGCATGCTTGTGGTTACTTCGATGTCTGATTTCAGTGCTTCAGCTGGTATGTTGTCGGGTCCTGCTGCTTTCCCGTTCTTGATTTGTCTGACGGCCATTCTAATTTCTTCCGTCGTTGGTGGGTTGACATCTATAGGAAGATCTGTGTGTGCTGCTTCGATGTTCGGTGGATTCATTGGAGCCGGCCTATTCAGGAGTTCCTCGAAGTATTCTACCCATCTGTTTCGCTGTTGTTGAATTTCAGTGATTGGCTTGCCTTTTTTGTCTTTGACCGGCCTCTCTGGTTTACTGTATTTCCCTGATAGTTTCTTCGTTGTATCGTAAAGCTGTTTCATATTTCCTTCTCTAGCAGCTTTTTCTGCCGTCGTTGCTAATTCTTCCACGTATTTCTTCCTGTCGGCTCTAATGCTCCTCTTCACTTGCTTGTTTGCTTCTATGTATTCAGCTTGTGCTTGGACTTTCTATGCTCGTGTTCGGCTGTTGTTAATTGCTGTCTTCTTGTTCTTCCTTTCTTTGATCTTGTCTAGTGTTTCTATAGAGATCCATTCCTTATGATGGTGTTTCTTTAGGCCCAGAACCTCTTGACACGTTGAAGTCAATGTTTCTTTGATGCCTTTCCAGTTGTCCTCCATGGTAGTTTCTTCTTCCTTCAGTAGATCTTGAAAGGCTTGGAACCTGTTGTTGAGAGCTACCTTGAATTCATTGAGTTTGTCAGTATCTCGAAGGAAGGCTGTATTGAACCTTTGTAGTGCTGTTTGTCCACTTGTCCAGTACTTTTTTAGCTTCAGTTTTAAATTGGCTACAGCTAGGTGGTGATCTGAAGCTACGTCAGCTCCTCTCCTGGTTCTCACATCTTCCATTGTCCTTCGGAATTTTTTGTTGATGCAAATATGGTCTATCTGGTTCTCTGTAGTGTGGTCCGGTGAGATCCATGTAGCCTTGTGTATACGTTTGTGTGGAAATATTGTGCCTCCTATGACTAATTTGTTGAATGCACACAAATTTGCAAATCTTTCTCCATTTTCGTTCCTCTCTCCCAGTCCATGTCGTCCCATAATATCTTCATATCCAGTGTTGTCTATTCCGACCTTGGCATTTAGATCTCCCATCAGAATGGTGAGGTCCTTTCTTGAGCATTTCTCTATGATTGACTGCAGCCGCTCGTAGAATTGATCTTTAATGTCGTCGTTGCTATCATTGGTGGGTGCATAACATTGGATAATATTCATTAAGATCCCCTCCTTCTTTGTTTTGAATGATGCTTTGATGATTCTGGATCCGTGGGATTCCCATCCTACAAGTGCATTTTGTGCTACTTTGGACAGCATTAGAGCAACTCCCTGAGTGTGTGGAGCATTTTCCTCTTCGTGACCGGAGTATAGCAGCATCTCTCCCGTAGCTAGCCTTTTCTGTCCAGCTTGGGTCCAGTGGGTTTCGCTGATTCCCAGTACTGCTAAGTCGTTTCTCCTCATTTCCGTTGCTATTTGGCTGGTCTTCCCGGTTTCCCACATTGTTCGAACGTTCCATGTACCTATAAAAATTTTTGCTCTGGTTGTTAGAAGGGGCATCGGCCTCGTGGCTTCCGAAGGAATTCGGCTTTCACCATGAAGCGTCATAATTCTTCTAAATGAAGACCTTCTAACTCTCAGGGCAGAGTTAAAATGGTTTGAATTATTTTTTCTGGTAAGCGTTTTTTTAGCGAGTTAGTTTTCTACGGGATGGGGACGCTAACCCCATGCCCAACCCTCCTCCTTTACCCGGGCTTGGGACCGGCAGTAACTCTAGAAGAGCTACAGGCGGAGTTCCATCCTAATGTGGAACTCCTTAATAATATGCCTTTCGTCTCCACAGAGAGCGCTTAACCATATGACTACCAAGCTGCTGTACATGTCTAACTATAATTAATTAGTTATATCGATCTGAGGTGACTCCACTTGTAGCCCTTGTGGTGCTGCTGCCGTTTCCAAGCCCGGATAAAGGAGGCGGGTTGAAAATGGGGTTAGCGACTATATCCCGTAAAAAACTAATTCGCTAAAAAAATACTAACCAGAAAAAATAATTCAAACCATGGAGTTGAGGTGAGTAATTGATTAACACCCGATATTATTGAACACTGGTTATGGCTCCTCTTTAGAACTAATGTTTAGGCATCTCAAAGTCAGTCAATAGTGAGCCCATAAAAATTATAAGCAAAGGGGAATTTGTGAAGATAGTAGAATATTCATAATTTGTGTTACGGATTGATTTTAGCAAGCTGAACGAATGTAGGCATGTGCACAAATGGTACTCGGTCCAAAAGTCCGGAGCTTAAGCGTTATCGAGGGGAACTGAAGGTTCTCGGTTTGATCTCTAGAAGAATACTGGGTACATACTGCCAAGGAGTTCCATACTGGAACGAAACAGCCTCCTAATGCTTTTTTGGTTTTCAAGGAACATTTAACTAAAATCAGTTTGTAGTGTTAATTATGTGGACTAAAATGTCCACCAAAACATTTATACATAGCCTTTTGTTAAATTTAACTAATTATTATTAATCACCAATAATCGCTTCAAGTTAACAAGTCTTAAACTTACAACAAATGTAATAATAAGTTTCGTCATAACCTTACAGTATTTCTTGAGATAATTTATCAGTGAGTGTTGATAGATCTTTTTTTTCCAATTCGTTTGAATACTGCACAAAAGTGGTAAACTTAATGTAGCTAATAAATAACCTATTAGGTATCACCTTGAGATCGGTGATGATGAACGGAATACTACTTTTATAATAGAAAAAAATATCAATAGTGTCGTGAATAACTACTTGAATATGGTTGATTAATAATGATGAAACTTACTTCAGAAACTTATGAATAAGATTAAGAAATTCATGGTAAATGTTATCCAATATTTCTATTGAGTTTCCGCAACTGTTAATCCTTGTCTACTAATAGAAATAATGGTCATCTACTGGTTACAAAAAGCTGTTTTGAATAACTAGATCTAACTTTCAAAGCTTCATGACCATTCCATAACTCACTGAATTTAAATATGAGTGAATTTGAACATTTGAACACATTTCAAAAATGAACCAAGATACACCGACAATATTTTTATTTTTTGTTAGGTCATGAAACACTGGCATACCCATTACTGACTATTAATGACATTATTTTTTCCGAATGCTGTGATAAACCGTTGATCAGCCAGTGGAATTGAAATAAATTAACGAATAAATAAATCAGTCACTACACCTCGAATTACGAAGGTCACATAACAAAAATCATATAGAATTGTCATTCGACCTTACGACATTA